CGAAGGAAAATACTAAAATATAATGAAATTCGGTACTATTCCGTGTGTCAGGGGTATAACAATATGTACATTATGTGGCGGAGCGTCAGCAAAACGAGAGAACGCTGGTAAATACATGGAACCTCGAAACAATAGAACATCAAGTCAATATAAACAGAAAACATCAGAAACCTAATCGGCATTCCATCAAAAGTACAAGTACATATATGAAGCCATACACTGAAACCAGGAGACGATCCTTATCATCTTATCAGCACAGGACACCTGTCATTATATTTTGTGTTAGAATTTTCTTGTAGCTTCTTATTGGTAACACAGATGTCTTTAGGTGAACAACTTAATCACGAGGACACTGGAAATTTCATGATTGTAAATCAAGTCATGACAAATTGTTAAGTTCTGCCTTTTACCCAAATTTACAGCTGAAGCATTTATAGTTGGTCTAGCAAATTGGATGAAATTGAACTTCTCTGGTCTGACTCATTGTCACTACTACAAATTATTAAAAATCAGAACTTTAACAACATTCTCATACAAAACATCGCGCCTGTGTTGACAGAAATGTGGTGTTATGCCACCTGATCTTGTTTTTTGATTCCTGGTCATTTCGGAATAAATGACGATTAGAGGTAGCTTAAGCGCCTTCATTAGCAGCACTTTACCTACTACCGAAAGATAAACTGCCTTATTTTGATTGTAAACCTCCCTTAGCAATTTTTATTAAAATAAATTTGCAAAATTATCAGTCTGAAGAAATAAACAATTCAACCTAATGTGGGTTCATGTGCAACATGTAGGGCAGACCGCAGAGAGGAAGTTGTCCTCTCGCGACAGCACATAGACAATACCATATATCATAAATTGTTACATTTAACAAAACAGCAAAGCCTTATTGTCAAGAATGTGATCTACCATTTGCGGTCAAACATTTTATGATTGAATGCGCTGATTTGTGGTTGTGCACAACTTGTTCGACAATTGTCAATATAATGTGACCGGGCGGAATGCTGTGCTGGGTGCCTTCGACATGGTATTTCAGTGATATAGCACTATAAAGTCGGCATCAGATCCGCGCTATCACAATCATTAAACCAAACCAAATCAAACAAATACGTGACACATCCTTTATTTTACCGTCTATGTTAAGTTTGTTTCATACAATATCTGTGCAGTTAATGTGTTACCATGTACATTAATTCGATCTTTACAATGATATATGAACTATTTCTCAACAATTCGTTGGCTGTTGATATATCCTTTACATAATTTATTTTCATAGTTTGTTTAAGTAAGATGTATTCATTTTTGTGAATATTCTTCTTTTAAAGTATGTTTGGCCCTAAATGATTCACATTGTCGATGGGCCGTTAAACAATACAAAAGCAAATAAAAAACACATAGATGCAGGGCTAAAACTGCATTGGTACATGTAGCTTGATTGACTTATATTCTTCCTTCGTGTTTTAACTGTAACTTTTATGTCTCCTATAATCCCTATTGATTAATCGTAAACAATTCGTAAAACAAAACTAGTTGTAGTTTTAATTACACCGAAGTCGTTCATTTCGTACGGTACTTCTCTTATAAGGAGAGAACATGGATAAATAAAAGCGGGAGTACACTTTCTATTGCCTTCCCGAACAAGTAATCACTTGTGCGGTTAATGTCGTACAGCATTTACAAGTAAGAATTTACAGTGTACATCAAGAAGAGCTGTATTATTTAATGAAAGGTAAGTTGCCAGATACCGCAATTAAAGATGAAAACCATAAACGTTCAAATCGCCCGATGAAGCCATGTGACGCAAGAAATTCAAATATAAGCCACTTATGCAGATCAAGATCAAAGTAAGGATATACATGCTTCAGAATGGTATTTCAGTGGGGTAGCACTATAAAGTTGGTATCACAACGGGGCAAACACACCAACATACCTTGTATCCGGCACACTTACACGCATGCCCGCATACATAACACAAATGGAAACACGTCCTCAAATGACCTACGGTGTCAATAGGACGTTAAATGAAATTAAACCAAACCAAACCAACTGCATTATTCGTAACGAGCGACTTATATGAGACTCCCTACTGAATTTCGTTTGGTTTTATGTTGTTTAACGTCCTATCAATTTATATTTAGGGACGTGCCTCCATATGTGTTGTCAATGCGTGCTTGCGTGTGTTTATGTGCAGGAGGCGGGGTTGTGTTGGTGTTTTTGCCTCGATGCTGATCTGATGCCGACTTTATAATGCTATCTTACTGAAATACGTGGGACTAGCTGATGATTCGCTATAAGATAAATCATAAAGGACAGTTAAAAATTGTAACATATCGTTATAAATGTATCATGTTGATGTGTTGTTTAGGATAAGGTTAGGTGCATATAATTCCTGAAAACGTGTCAGCATAACTGCGCAATGTGTTTTGTCGCAAGATTCAATTTTGTACATCCGTCTGATTTATTCAGTTTGGCATAGCGTGTGCAATCGATGTGTATTGATTGTTGTTTTATTTTTAAATTGCAATTTTGGTATACAGGATATTTTCAATTATTAAGAAAAAGAAATAAAATAACAACCTTTCTTTTGTTAAATTACAAAAGAAACCCGTATGAAACGTTAAATGACAATAACCGGCAGCAGCTGATGGATTCTATTAAAACTGAAATTATCTTGCCTTCATGTGATGGGTTGGGAGTCTATGTTCCGTTATAAAAATGTAGATTTCCATTATTTATGGCATTAATGATACACTGTTCATTTAATTCTCACCGATGCAAATAAATAATAATAAACGAATCGTAATCAGGCTTAAGCTCTTGACGCGTTATTCTTGGATTTTTTCTTGAAAGCAATAAATCGTTGATGTGTGTCTCCTCTCCTACATTCAGTTGGATATCTACATGGTGTCGTCGTATGAAAGCAGTTAGTGCCTTTGAATGTGTGCAGGATTTGGTAGATTATAAAATGAGATTTAAAACAACTTTACACATCCATGCCCCTAAAATTATTACTTAAATGCGTTTAAACAACAATTTCTCATAATGCATGGAATTTCAACTCAGTTTACACGCTGTTTATAGACTTGCGTTATATTCCAAGAACCTAAATACACAAATGATATAATGGTATTCAGTTCATCGATTTTTAACACGTTAAGGTCAGACATGTCCGCCACCGTAAAATGTTCAATGACATATGAGTGACATTTGGAAGTAATAAGATATATAAACATGTTATGGAAAAGTAGACGGATTAACGTTTTGAGTCATTTAGGGCCAACCAACACAAGAAATAGTCAGTCACAAAAAGAAATTCATCAAACTGAAACCAAAAGGTTAAAAAGTCTGAATGAGCGAAAGAAAACATTAAACGCAAACGAATGGGTTGTAAATTATTACAATATATCTTACTCTACAGCTAAATTCAATATAAATAGTTATAGCCTATACTATGTCGCGAAAAAGAAATAGTAGCGAAGTGAGAAAAGAATATCGATCCTAAGAGTTACAATGGGGAAACCAGATCAATGTTGTTTTTTTCAATATAACACAAGCAGAAGACACAGAAGAAAATTGCCAGATTCTGCAGAGAAAATAGTTGCCTCTTACGAAATGCAGCAGGAAACAAAAGGCCTGTTTTCGATAACCTGCACAGGTTGAGTGTCTAGGGAGATAGCACCGAAAGAAAAGAGGAAGAAAGCGAGTAAAGAAAATATTAAGATTCAAAATGTAACAACGTGTGTAGCAGATCGATTTATATTTTTCGGGTGTATGTTAAGTGCTGCTTATTCAGCTCTATATATTATATGACTCGACAAGGTTTGTTGGTACATTTGGCTCCTTGTGGTAGCGCAGATCGGATGCCGACTTTCAAGTGCTAACTTACCGAAATACTGAACATTAAAATTCCGATAATAAGATGTTCTTTATTAGAATATCTCTCTTAAAGTGTAATGTATTGTGATACCGTAGCCCTGACACCGAATCAGAACACAAAACATTTCTTTTTCGGGTTTTTTCTTTTATTCAAAGCCGGATCTTACATTTTCTTATTACGAATCGTCAACATAAATAACCAGAACAATTAAAAGAAGATTATTTGCATTTCAGCCTTATGTTGTTGATTCGTTATAAGTTGAGTAGACCGTAGACAGGAAGTTGTCCCCTCGCGACAAAAGGAAGATCAATCTTTTGTCAGGCTTGTGATCAACCATTCATATGAAAGCAATTAATGATACAATGCGCTGATTTCATACAAATGCGTGATAAATGTTATAGCATACCGGCTACAAAAAGTAACTAAAGATATATAATTCAATTCACACTCAACAGATCTTTACAGTATAATAGGATATGATGTATTTTACATCAAATTTGTGTGTCATTGATACATTTTGTTTTCCATATTTCACACATTTTAACATATCTATTTTCAGTCGGACGCACTCTTTTTGATAAACCTTTTTTTTTAACAGCGTTGTTCGGTCATAAATGATTAACTGTTGATGGGTAAAACTGAGCCGAGAAAATTTAAGATACGGACAAAAAAATAGCTGAAACATATCATAACGACTATATTTATTCGGTTTTTATATAAGTTTTTTTACTTCCAATGTATATCTTGCTATACATTTTGTAACACATCAGGTTTTTTGGTGTTTTTTTTCACCATTGGACCCTATTTTATTTGTTCATGGGCTGTGTCGATTGTATCGCAGAACGATACCAGCGAGAACGTCTATGACCCTACTGTCCCCAATTGGCCAACAAATCCTTAATGCAAAGAGTAAACAAAAATATTTAAAAAGAAAAGAATATAATCGGACACACAGTAGAATGTCAGTTACGAAAACGTGTAGGCAGACTATCAGCTGAAATTTGAATGTCGTTGCAAAATGTTTAATTCAACGCCAATGCAGATAATCCGCATTGCTTTTGACTTATCTTGGCTGCAATGTATTGATCAATCATGTTTTTCATTAATTTGCATTTTGCAGGAAACACACTCGAGTCATATGGAGACGCAAACAAGCTTCATGTTTCTGACGATAGGGGTAGTTCCTATACTTGTTTCGACAATAGCTTTCCTGCCAAAGTCAAGGATTCCGTGGCCACTTCCGGCTAGTTACGGAAAACGTGGCGAAGTATGGAAAGAGTCGTCTGGATCAAGGAGAGCGGCAAACGGACAAGGTAGTTGTTACACCTGCTGCGAGTTATATAAATGAAAACCAACCTCAGCATCCGCGATATGCCGTTTAATTGGTGGTCTCCTTTTTCTCAACCAAGTTCATTTTCGTCACCATACGGCTTTCATATTTGTATTTTTCTGCCATTATACAGTTGTGGGATCGCACAACGTTACACGATGTGCGGTGTGCGCACGATGTGTGCACGGTGTGTGAACGATGTGTGCACGAAGTGCGAACAATAAAAAATTGAATGATCCTTGCTTGCACACATTTGTGCGGACGATCGACGAACGTTGTGCGATAACAATTGCAGTTGATGTACATTGAGGAATGGCTCAACAATAAATATGATTTCGTGTTTAAACATATACACTTGATTTTTAAATATGTTTCTATAGTCAAGCTACATCTATAAGCTTATCTTTCTGTCTTTACTTTCTTAAATTTAGAAATGTTGATTTCGGTGTTGTTTAAAGAACCTTAATCGACACCTGTAAAATTGACCGGAGTTTTACCTGGCCTTTGTCTGACACATAGAGCTGATATGTGATACCGTATGACCGTTATGAAAACACAACTGGACGATTACTCTTTGTTATTTGCATTCGCTTTGGTTTTCACACCTTGGCGAGTTACGTAAGTGCCCCGGGCGGGGGAAAACTACGGTCCAGGTTCAAAGTGACTATGTTTACTTGTGTTGCCGAGACTGTGTTGTAAATTTACACGTGTCGATAAAGGTCGTTTAAACACCCCACAAAACACCATTTCTAAATTTAGGCTTATAGATGTAGCTAGAGTATAGAAACATACTAAAACATTCTAATTTTATGTTCAAACACGAAACCGTATATATTGTCAAGCCATTCCTTAATTTACACCAACCACGATTGTTATCGCACAACGTTCGTCGATCGTCCGCACAAATGTGCGCAAGGAATGATCGTCCAATTTTATATCGTTCGCACTTCATGCATACATCGTTCACACACCGTGCACACATCGTGCGCACACCGCACATCGTGTAACGTTGTGTGATCCCACAACTGTACATATGTGTATGTATCATTTTTTTACCAACAGCTCCTAGCAAGTCGACTTGTGGATTTGCCACGTTCTGGGCTGTGGCCTGCTCAAGTATCTACATATGGTCCGTCATTTGGTTCGCCATTTACAATCTCCGCTCATTCACATACGACGGAAACGTCAGACTGATGCTGATTAAATATGGTGTCGCCAGAGAAAACAGTAAGCATGCAAGAGTCAATATGACAAAGCTTTAACTTAGAGGCCTTGTGTTTCCCTGAAATAGTGCTCCTATTGCATAGTTAAAGTATGGTATCCCCTTTAGATTCCCAACATTTTAAAAGCATTTCTCTGTTTGATCCAATTGCATGAACATAAGATCCGACGAAGTTGGCTCCACTGGATTTGTTGTGGTTGTTGTTGTTGTTGTTTTTATTTTTTTAATTTATTTTTTTTTTTTTTTTTGGGGGGGGGGGGGGGGGGGCGGGTTCTTCATGGAACATAGAAATGAGCGCTACATTGTTGTGTATTATTCCATTATATTAAGATATACCCTTTCTAGTATCTTGTTGATTTTTAAGTTCATTTTACAGGTTTTAAACTGTTAATAACAACTGTTGTATGGTCAAAGTAGCAAAATAGTTTGAATCAATGCATAGAAAACAAATAACACTTTGAAAAACCTAAAACCGTTGATTGTTTCCCAGCTGTAGAACAAACCGCCGAAACGATAATAATTATATCATGTTTTACAAATGTTCGATCTGCGATGAGTGGTCCATGTTGATGCCATTTCATGAAAATTCAAAACCCTTGACACAACAAGATAACCCATCCGGTAACATCATACTGACATCGTTTCGAAACTGATTTTAAGTTCATCAAGAAAATAGCAATATTCACCATTTTTATGAGGCTTCCTTGTCTAGGCATTGTGGCAGAGCCATAATCCTTTTTGGTCAGGTATGCATGCAACACCTAGGCCAAAAATGAGGAACTACCAAGAAATACAATGTATGTTAGGAAAACAAAACTTATTTAGAGAGGATAACAAATGAAGGCTCTCAAATGTTGCATTTAGTGAATCAGCTTTATTGTTTTAGCTTTAGTGTGCCAAAGTAAAGGACAAAAATGGAAAACCCCAAACTTTGTAGTTAATTGCCATAATCTAACTGCCTCTTACAACTCATGCCATGGTTAACGGCATTGTATATTATTTTCAATTTCCGATCTGCGCGGGTAGATGAACAAGTGGTTGAGTTGAGAGGAATGCAGCAAGGTAGAAGACAAATAATAAAGACAGTTTTACTGGCAGTGGTTTTGTATGGCTCTTATTATGAGCCATTTTCTGTGCAATTACACAGTAATTATCCTGCCTTTGCTATGATAAAGTTTGTTTTGTTAAGAATTTCTCGTTAATGACCCAGTCCTGATTATGTGAAGACGAGTACCTAGGGAGACGACACACACAAATAAAGACCAGGTACAGGTAGGAACAAAGAGATAGAGATACACAAAGCTACAGTAGGGACAGCAGATCTATGTTGTTTCCTGTAATGCTACTTCAGCAAAAGATAGAAGGAAACCTCCGATTTATATATATCGCTTCTTTCATATATTGAGTAGTACAGCAGGATGTCCTGTTCCTGAATTAATCGGCATCGAGTGTGTGATCAAGCACTTATAGCAAAAGTGTTTTATATGTCGGTGATGGTGTGTACAGTACGTTGTCATTAGTTGTTAAGAACACTAATCTATAAATGAGCGAAAATGGCCCATACACATTAACAAGGTATAATCACCCAACTCTGCGTGTGGTAAATCTTACAGACAATCTTTCCAATTAGGATATGTGGATAGTTATTATTTATCATGGTATTCGTAGGTTGTCTTACATAGAATCAACAAACCTACCCTGTTCAGTATGTGTTCTCCCATAGATCGATACGTGTAATTGCACGGTGATACAAACCGTAGACTAATCGCATGCCTCATTAGACAACGCCCATAAATCCATAGCGAGCGATTCAGACGGAATGTATCATTTCCTGGAGATAAACGAGAAATTGATAACATGAACTCCATCTCTCTTTGCCTATGATGTCAAATTCTCGGACGGATATTTGATTTACTAGAAGTAAATGATTACAACAGATTTATGGTAAACTAGTTATACACGATACATATGTACTGTAAACAGACATACAGAAAAATAAGTATTATTAAGTTAGTTGACCAGAGCTGTTTAGGGAACAAAAAATCATTTATCTGTCATATTCCTATCCCAGGTGATGCCTAACTCTCAGTTTTAAATGGGTAGTAGTAAGGACTGGATACACCGTTTCCATTGTTACACGACCAGGTGGAGTAACGTTCTGGATGCCATTGACATTGCATTCGGTGAAGTAGCACACACACGGCAACTTGTGCATTTTCTCTATCATTCTGCGTCTTTCAAACCGTCTTTTTTTTGTGTAACAACACTTTAAAAACATCAATGGAAAAAACAAATACATTGCACTGTGTTAAAACATGCGAAAAAATCACTATCTAATTTCTTGTTTGTGAAACGCGGTATTATATATGTTTGTGCAAATTAATTTAAACATGTAATTAATTATAGTGTTTCAATGTCGCATGACCTGTATCATGATCAGTGAAACACACACACACAGTTGACTGAACCTTAAAAGTTTGGTAATGATACAGTATATTGTATGTTATAATTCACATGTTTGATTAAAATCGGCGTTTTTCATAATAAAATGTTTAATGGTAAATGGTTGGTAATAAGCATGACAATAAGGTATATTGTCATTTCGGAAATATTTGAATTTCTTTGGACCATTTATGATGGAATAAGATTCAACATAGATTGTTATGGAAGACAAACTTTAATTGATTGTTTATGTTAAAAAAAGTCGAAGTCTTATACATTAAAATAATGTTTGGTTAAGTTTGTTTTGAATGCAATGCATCTGTTGTATTCAGGGTTAGTAAAGGCTTTAAAGTACAACATAAGCCAAAATATATGGAGGCCGATATTGTGAGAATGTTTGATTTCCTTGTTGATAATATCTTTGTCGAGGTCGGTGAAATCTTGGCGCGTTTTTCCACCACAATGTTTTGCATTCCCATGGCAACACATTGTGCTCCGCTTCTGACCTATTTGTTTCTGTTTTCATACTAAGCTGAATTTATTGATGACCTTTTCAGGACTGGTAGCAAATACCTACCCGATTCATTCAATTTCACATTCAGATTCGTCGACAATGTGCTTTCTTTGTCTAACAAGACAATAATTGACGAAATCAAATGGATAAACATGTACCCTCCAGAGCTTGAAATCAAGGACTCCAAAGACTCTTTATCTTCAGCCCTTTCCTAGATCTTTAACAACATGACTACCAAGGAAAGCTTACTTCTTAGATGTACGATAAACGGGACAATTTCGCCTTTCCAATCGGCAACTTTCCCTTTTTCCTACTTGAGGTAGATGTCATATATCAGTCGCGGTGTCGTTTCCGTCAATCATCTCCCATGGTGACATGGTGATACATTGCGATATGTAGATGATGCGATAACGGTTTTACAAGTGTATAAAGTAACTGTCACTGTTTTTAATACAGACCATAGTGAGTAAGGACAAGTACATTGCGGGGCCCTTGCTGACCTGGCATTGTTCTCTTAAAAACTTATAAAATAATGACTACCAAACTGTATAAAACATTTTTTCATAGTCGATGAGTTCAATCAGAAAACCTTTTCACTGTAAAAGGTTTATCGTATGCATAAAGCTGATATTTTTTGTTAAATGTAATGTGGGTAAAGATAACAAATAGTCACACGATATGAATTAAAGGGTTTTCATAACGGTAGATCATCTAATATAGCAATGAATATTTCTCATTATAAGAGTACTGATCTGTGTGTAAAAAAAAAATATGATAATATGTGAAAATATCACAATATGTACATTATTTCAAGGCGATTCTAAACGCCCATGCACAATGTATGTATATATCTATGTTTATGTCATAAAAGTTTGGAAAATATATAAAAAAAAAATTAAAAAAATGAAATGTATGATTCGCACTAAAGTTGATTGATTGGTTGTATGGGATTTAACGTGCTACCAGCAACTACATTTGTAAGCTCATTTAACAGTTAAAAGATGGGCCTCCTCCACGTACGTCGTGTATGAGCGCACGTTGATATGTTGGTGTATTTGCCATCTTGAGAGACCGCATATCTGATGTCACCTTAATCGTGTATCGCCATCGAAATACCAAGCCGCAGGTACCCTGCACAGCTTTGCCCGGTCACATTATACTGACAACGGGTGAACCAGCTGTTGCCATTACCCTTAATGCTGAACGTTAAGCAGGGAATAACAAATGCCAATTTTAATGACTTTGGTATATCCCGGTTTTAGAATAGAGCTCATTACCCTCCTCAACTCGGCAAACGTTTAACAGGAAAGCCAATCATTAGTATTCCCAAGTAAAACGCGCTATTGTATATCAGCTTGATAGGAAATGAATTATTCCAACTATAGTATATCGGCTAAATAGGAGAGTAAATTTGCTTTCGTTATACATTGTACTTGTATATGATGATCTTAGTAGGAATGCATGATATTTCCCGTCAGTAGATACTTTTCGTTTGTTCGACTTATGACGACAAAAAGATACCTTTCGATTACTCTTTAGAAAACCATAAACTACAGCCGATGATTGCGTGTATATATATATTTATCCGAAAGCAAAATTGTTTTTGTTCACGATGTGTAGCATTGTATCAGTCTTTTCCGTATACTGCAATTGCATGGCTGGAAGATGCTTGTCTGCCATTTGTGTGCAGATGGTATTTTTATCTCAAGCATCTTTTTGAAAGTTGAGTTTTTCCATTGACACATTATATGTTACAAAAAACAACAAAGTGGTGAATATGAACAGTACAAAATACAGTGGAACAAAGTTACCAAACTTATAAAAGAGGCTAAAGCCACATATATAGTTATATACATTGTATATCTATCTACATTATATTTGTTTTGCAACAAATATGAAACAACTTCTATTAATCTTTCATGTTGGAGGTGGTATTTAGAGTATATGCCGTCTGGCGACAGTGCGGGTCTGGGTCGACTGTATGATGCTACCTCACTGACATACCACGCTGTAGCACCTACATGTATCATAGCATACCGTCCATAACTAATACAACTACCATTTTTAGGACTTTATTTTATCCT